ATATGTTAGTATACATAGTATTAAAGACACTTCTAGTATGTACTAGAAGTATATATGCTGGCTATCAACATTTCTTTACCACGATGTTTTTAATAAACCTGACAGTTGTCATGTTTGATAGACTGTTGATAGTACAATTATAGAAGAAACTATTTATAATATATGAATGTGTATAGATGAACCAGAGCAAAGAGGCCTACAGGATCTCCCACTAAAAGAGACCACAGACTAAACTAGACCAAAAGAGTTTAAAAATAATTTTAGCTTATGATAAGTCAACACCGTATCTATATTGTGTATTCAACGATCCTTAGATATAAATCTATAAGCCTTGTCTAAAACTTGAGCTGAAAGTCTCTTTCTTTTTAGTTAAATGTAAGCAGTGGCTAAGTTCAATTTGTCAGCTTATCTGCAGTGACTCTTTTCTGGTGTAACTGCCATGACCATCATCATCTATTCCTGACTTTTGAGTTATATGTGGACCATTAAATAGAAACCCTTTACACTCTAACAGGATCCTTTGAAAATGGATCTTTCTCAGTGAGGATAACAAACACAGTCCATAACAAGCAGAAGGAAGAGACGTGTTACACTTGGAGGTGTGTCTCCATTCATTGTGCTTGACCACCTCAGTCCATGTGTACCATGTGCTGTTGCTTCATAGAAATCACCATCATTTGAGCCAGAGAGCCTTTGTATGGAAGAGGTAAAGGTGAGTATTGGGAATGAATGTGGAAAAGTAGGGAAATATGGATACTTTGTCAATGAAACTTGGTTTTATATAGTAACTTTTGGGAATACCCCATGTATGTGTTTGGGGGGGTTATTATTAAAGCTATCTCTTAGTTGAAACAAAAGAGCTCTGTTATAGTTGAGCAGTCATCCTATATGTCCTATTTAGTTTTAGAAGGACTAAAAGAAAGAAAGCATGAACATCTTAACACACAGCACCAAGGCCAGAGCAAGTCCCAGAATGTAGATCATCAATTCATAGGAAAGAAAGGCTTAAAGTGGTTATTAACTCATTAGGTCTGAAAAGGTATATTTTCCTATGTGACATGAAAACAGCAATAAATGCTAATGTATCATGGAGCCCATAGAAACATTAGGAAATAAATTATTTATAAATCAGCAATAGGAATCGTGGACTGTTTCCCCCTCTCTCTTTGCCCCTTTCCTTCCTCCTCTTCTTGTCATCTTCTTTCTGTTTTGAGGACTTGACAACTGTTTTTCTGACAAGGCAGTAATTAAACATACTTAGGAGACCTTGTAGCTGCTACTTTTCTCTTAAGTTAGAGCATGCTGCAGTGAAGGTGTGCCTATGATAGTCCCAGTCTTTGAAAATATCTTCCAATGTGGGATAAATGTCAGAGTACTAGGTTGTAAAACTTTAGGTAGTAATAACATGAAAAACTCTATACTGTACCTAGGTGTTAAAAATCTTATGTGGCTTCAGGCTAAATCAGTTTTATAATAGCATGTGTTATTATTTAACTTATAATAATATTTAACTTATGAATAAATAATTTATGTTAATTCCTATCTATTTTGATACCTTGTGCCTAGAATAGTGTGTGGGTTGTGATCAAACCCACTACAGGAAATTTTTTCCTTTCATTACAAGCACCTGAATTGAAAAGTTAGTGCCTAAGGAAAACAGTACTCAAATCCATCCATTCTTTTATTTAAAAACATTTTAAAAGATGTCTTTATTTTTGTGTATTTGTATGTGTGTGTGTGTGTGCATGCCTACATGAATTTATGTCCAGCATGTATGTGCAGGAGCCTACAGAGACCAGAAGAGAGCATTGGATCCCCTTGAACTGTAGTTGTAGGTGGTAATGAACCACCATATGGGTGCTAAAAACTGAACCCAGGTCCTCTTAAAGGACAGTAAGCACTCTTACTGCTGGTCCATCTTCCCAGGCCCCTCATTCTTATTTTTAAAGGATGAACTACACCAGCTGGGCAGCATGGAAGAGCCACAGTGGGCTGTTTGGTCCTCCTTGGGCATCAGAATGTGACACATATCTGACGTAGGGTGCCTTTGGAAGTAGCAAAGTCTGAACCCTATTACAGTTATGATGAAAAGAGCCTGTGGGTTGTTTTGATGTGTGCATTAACAACGAAGAGAAAGACATCCAGGCTACTTCTTAGAAACAGCAAGAAAGACATTTCCCCCTTGAAATTAAAAATATGCAAAATGTGCAAGATACAGCTCTGGTGGGAACACACACACACACACACACACACACACACACACACACACACACCTTTCATCCAGAGGCTGTAGTTTGCTTTCTTTTATTCCTTAGAATACGTGACGATGTGAAAACACAACACGGAGACATGCAGCCTGATCGAGTGATAATCTCTTATAACGTGCTTCTATTTAAAGAAACAAACAGATGGAGGGTTTATGAGCAAAGCTGGTAAAAGTAAAAGCAAATGTCTGCAATAGTACTTTTAATAGGATTTCCCACAATCTAAAACATTATTCCCCTTGGAACAAACTGTTCTATAAAAATTAGGTTACTTAGGGGAAAGAGAGTCACCCTGACATTGCTGAGCAGTGAATTCCAGAATACTACCCATCTGTGGGTTCTCTTAACTCAGACCAGCGTCCTGGGGAGGGGAGGTAGGGATGCCTGAGACCATGATCCCCAAAGACCAGGCTCTGTGGAGTAGAGGTAAAGGAAGATAAACAAGTGTAAAGGGCTGTGAGACATGACTGAGCCTCGATTGAATTTATTACTCTGTGATTTTCTACTTTGAAAAACATGGTTTGAGAAATTCTTACAGATTTAAGATAAGCATGGCTCAGGGCTTCCTCCCCTACTAATCACAGCAGAGTCCAACTGTAGCATGGCAGATCTTGCTTAGCAAACAGTGGAATTGCAAACAACCCAATACTAATTCATTATCATTATCCCTGCTTAAGAGAAGCAAAACTCACTGTAATTCCATCAGTAAGATGAATATGCCACCATGATGGCCTTTACGTAAGTTATAATTAAAGCTAATCTTAATTAAAGTTATTACACCATTCTGAAAGAAAATAAATAACCCAAAGAGAGGGAACCAGTGTGGTCAATAATTCACTCCAAAAATATTTTTTTGCCTCCAAAGCTCACATCGAGGGAGACATTCCTGCGCACGATACAAATGGTTCTGACATTAAGAAAAGTAAACAAGTAAGAAAAATAAAGATGGAAAAATTCTGTGGTCAGTTCACAAGTGCTTTTTTATTGTTTGAGGCAGGGTTAAAGCCTTTTATGAAGACAAGGATATATGTGCCACTAGATTGGATAGGACACTGGACTAGTCAAGCTGCCCTTGTGCAGAGCCTTACTGCCCATAACATGCCATGGACCAAACGTGCTGATGCTTCTAAACAAAGAATCTGATGTGGCTAATAGAAACCATTAGCTCTGTTCTGTTTTGTAGATCAAACAGAGGAAAGGTACTCAACTCCGATTATGAGTAGATTGGCGAGATGAAGGCAAACATTGAATAATCTCTAGTTATTAATGGTCTCGAGGATTTTAATGTTAGCCGCTCTGAACAGCTGATGTACGGAGGTTGTGTGATCTCTAAGCAGGCCTCCTGCCAGCCTGGAGATGTGTTATTCCAAGACTGTGTTGACTCAGTAGGCCAGAGGCTATGTAAACGGACTGGAGCTGAGAAAGAAGGTTTTTCTTTTGGCAGCTCAGGGATTCTGAGTCCCCAAAGACTCTACGATAGCAACTCTCTGGTCACTTGGTATCCATAATTTGGAGGGATTCTGTCTCGGGCTTTGCTGTACTAACACTACGTGCATGCAAGAAAATGACCACATAGTATAAATAGAAGAAGAAAAAGTAGATGTATTGTGTCATGGGCAAGCAACTTTCCAAGTGACCGCTAGAGTGACTGACCTGTGCATCAGTAAGCTAAGCAAAATGACAGGTACCCAGACTAGTGTGATTGTGCTTGCCTTCCTTGTGACATTGGTGCTAGAACACAGCCAAGGTGACACAAAGTAGGTACAATGTCTCCTGAGCAAGTTACGGATCTGACTTGTGAGATGTTCTGAGAAAAATAGGAACTATAAAAGGTCTGTTCTATAGAACCTGTTGGTGTGGTGGGCATTTTCTACAGCCTTCCTCATCTTTCCACCCCCTGGCCCGTCTCACTGTCTTTCTTCACCTCACCGAATGCAGACAGCACCTAAAGGAACTTAAAAACGGCTCCAAGCTTAAACATGGCCACAGGCATAGTGTGTGGTTTAAAAATAAGCGATAAGAAATTGGTTAACCCTATGACACAGTCAGGACAAGTAGATATTGAGCTGCAGGAAATAAGGTAAAACCAGTGCCTTTGTAGTCAGGAGTTTAGGGAAAGATGTTTACTTTAGGAATTGTATCATGAAGCCAGTCATAAACGTATGCCTGGGTTGAGAAATTACCTCTGGTGTCCTTTGAGAAACTGCAAATGGGAATGCATTGCCTATGATAAAGGACACTGGTAAAGCATCAGGGAGGTGTCTGCCTATGCTTGATGCACAGGTTAAGGGGGACAGAGGAAAAGCGTCCCTCCTCGGTACTGTGGCACGATTCCACTAAAAATAAACCCAGAGCACGGTGCTATCAGAGGACTTGACTCAGAAGGCCAGCTCAAGATGGTCTCTCTCAGTTAGACTGCAGCCAGTGAGCATGCCCAGGGAGGCCCCAGGTGTGACCTCTGCTCCCCTGCTAGCAGTGGAGGGACCAGGCAATCCATCATGGTGTTCATGCTGTCAGCCCTGGTGCTTAGCCATCGCTGTCTGTCACCCTGCTGGATGAGACCTGCTTAAGGGCAATCATGTCAATCTCTCTGTGACCACTCAGACTAAGGCAACTAGATGATCCTGACAGGCCCGACAAAGTCAGCACAAGGTACTGAAAGCGGAAGTTGCAGCCTTCTTACAAAGACAACGTGAACCATCGTTTTTCCTGCTTTTCCTTTATTCTTTGCTTTCCCTTTTATTTGCATGAAATAAGGTAAGGCCTGTAGACTTCAGCTTCAGAGTTGATCATCTCGGATAAACCTGTTACCCTCTGAGTTTCTTCCATAGTAAAAATAGCGACCTTTCCCCAGGACACCTGTAAACAGAAAGAGACCCATCATTACAGCTGGCACGATACATAACTCAGAAATGCAGATGTCATAAAACAGACATGTAGTACCATTGCCGACCTCGTGGGGCATGGGACAGAAAACAGATCAATCCTCAGACAACTGAGACTCTACTTCTTGGCCTCAAAGGACTTCGAAATGTCACTACTAAGTATATGTTCCTAGGAATAACAGCTTTAGGTATCATTTCCTCATTTTAAGGACTTTTCTAATTCGGCAAATGATTCCCAAAATGTAGCACACCCCCTTCTAGATTTCCTTAGTCAAGTTTCTAAGAATGGAAAGTTAAGTGTAAATAAGATGGATCCCGTTCAAGACAAAGTATAGGATAATCTTCCCAGAGTGAGACTATTTTGAAATCCTTTATTGGAAATCAATATTGTTGACTTCCAGAGAGAATTTTCCAAATCCCGGGGGGGAGGGGGGGGGCTTAAGCCCATGCTGGATGATTAAAGAAGAGAGGTGATGTTGGATGAAGATTATTTGGGAAGTACAAAGTGACAGTGACGTTAGACGTCCCCTGCTGACAGGCAAGTCTTGAATTCATCTTCAGTTTGAGTTTGTATATAATGTATGGCTCCTTACAAAGCCTTTCCGTCATTCAGGGAGGCTGTTGGAGACCTCACTATGAAACACACTGTTAGAATAAGACCAGGCTTTTAAATCAACTCATTACACATTGTAAATACCCACAAGACTTCTGCACATGGAGGTGCTTACTTGTAACTCTTGTAGTTGGGAGGCTCGAGGAGGATGGTGAATTGAAGGCCAGCTTTGGCTACATAGGGAGACTCTGTTTCAAAATCAAGGATTAGGGATGTAGCTCTGTGCAAGAATCCATATCCAGCATGTTTAAGGCCCTGGGTTTGATACCCAACCACACAGAATAAAAACCCAGAAGAAACTGGTCATGGTTATTGCAAAAGCCTTATAAGATTATTTTTAAAAGTGGGGTTTTCCAAGAAAATATTTATAACTTCCGTTTCCTTTTTTGCTACCTTTACGCTTCCAATTTTAGAAGACCTATTTTAAGAGTCAATCGCACACAATTGTCTTAGTATTCGTGGGGCTTAAATCTCTGACGTATGTAGCTAGGAAGAAGAAAAAGAAAGGAAACGTCCATAAAACATGAATTCATGAACCACAAATCTGTGACCATAGCTACCGATGTGCATGGTTGTTCGTATGCTCAGTTTGGAAAGACGGAACCAACAGGCACTACTCTTGGTTAATGTGGGATAGATTAATATTTGGAACCAACCAGGTTCTTTACAGTAGACATTGTAGTAGTATATATTTTTGTGACACTAAAAGAGTTCTCCGTTATAGAAATGTAAACTTTGCTGTGTGTGCATAGGGATATGTGTCAAGGCATGTGTGTAGAGGCCAGAGGTTGATGTCAGGTATCTTCCGCGATCACTTTCTACCTTACTTTTTGAAATAGGGTCTCTAAGTGATCTAGAGCTCATGGATTTGTCTAGACTGCCTTACCAGCAAGCCCCAGGGTCCTCCCCAGATCCCCATCTCTGAAAGTACAGGTATATATTGCTATGCCTGGCTTTTTAATGTGGGCTCTGGGGATCAGACTCGGAACCTCACACTTGCATGGCAAGTGGTTTGTTGACTGAGCCACTGCCGTAGCCCCTAAACTTGTTTGTGAATAAGGATTAACATAATGTGTACAAACTTTTAAGGGCAGTATATATTTTCCCTAGTTTGGATGGTTAGAGCTAATGTTGGAAATTGCTGGAGTTCCATGATCTCTTAGAATTGGAAGAGGGACAGGGTGACATTGTTTGGGGGCCGGCTCTCTTTACTACCCGACATGTTCCCATGAACAACTTTACTATGAATTATTCTTCTGGCTTGACTTGGATGTCTTGGCCCCCAGTTCTCCATTGGGGGTTTTCAATATTGGTCTATTGCCAGGAAGTATTGTGCTTATGTGAAACCTCACTAAGATCCTTCTTGGGACTTCATTCTTTCAGCTATTGGCACTAAGCTGTTCACAGTGCTGAATCCCATCACTTCCAGAGTTGTGCTAATATTGTCACCAGTGCCAGGATCCTGGTGGTCTACAGGCTGTGCTGTGTAGACTCAACCAACCCCACAGATGCAAGGGAAAGCCCACAAGGGACTGCCTTAAAATATGACTCATTCTGTGAGTTCAAGGCCAGCCTGGTCTACATAGTGAGTTCCAGGACAGCTGGGGCTAGAGGGAGACCCTGTCTCAAAAAGACCGAAAAATAAAAAAAAAAAGATTCATTCTAAGAAACTCTTGAAAAATCTAGAAGGATATTGCCAAAGGATGTTCATTTCTTTCTATAGCACCAGGACAACATGAATTTTTAGAGAAAGAAGTGAATAGGGCTCTCAGATATTTTGTAGATTACAGTCTCTCTCCTGAGTAGAAAGCTTGACAGGCAGGTGTGTGCACACATACCCCTGCCCACCATGGCTGCACTCCCTGCAGTAAACTCTCCCACACATCCGGGGATTCCATTTTTTTTTCTTTCTGCTGCTCTTCATGCTGAACTTGCACTCTGGGTCTCGCCTAGATTCAAGCAGATGGGAACAGTGCTCCTGGAACGGGCGCACCAGGGCTGTGTTCTGAGCCACACTCCTAGATCTTTTCTCTGGTTGGCATTGATAAAAGTGCTTTTTAAGACCTGCCCTGTTTCTTTAGGCCTGGAAGCAAGAATGTTTATAGACATCCTGGTGAGCAAGGGCTGTTTGATGAATGCGGGTGACTGCGGCTAGGTGTCAGCGCTTGGAAAATGAGGCAAGGACGTGAGGTATTAATACTGTCAATGATCTCTTGACGGGAAAACAGATACTGCACTCACTGTCAGATTTAAATAGACATCGAGTGCATTAATGACAAAAGGGCAGACTTCAAACAAAAGGGGCTGTGTGCCGGGAAGCTGACTTGGTCTCTGGGCTGGCACTAACCTGATCTGAAAAGGCACTGTCAGGACTAGAGACAGGTCCAGGATTGTGCACCGTGACAGAAAACAGAGATGCTGACAGAGATACCAGGGCCATATTATGCCAAGGACACTGGAGCACTGTCTGGGGCTTTAATGCAAGCTGACATCACTCCCTAGCATTGGTTCTCCTTCTCCCCTGCAGAACCAGAATGTTCGTCCAACACCTCATTCCAAAATCAGCTATGCCTGTCACAATGGCAGCTTTGGTCTGTGGGAGCCATGGGGTCAGGCCCTACAGATAACCTCAGTCAATTGAAATCTGGGCTGTGGAAGAGGTAACGCTCCTCCTTACTGACAGGTGGGCTACTTGAGGTGATCGGGGAGCCAATGTGTGAGGAGCTGCCACCTTCCATCAAACGCCCAAGGGGAAGGCACTCGGTAGTGGGCTGGGGCTGGCCGATCTGGGAAGGGACAGAGATGACCTGGCAGCCCCAAACGAAACCCACTTGCTGGTACCAGCATGGAAGGAAGGGGCTCAGGCTCGAGACTTGTAAAACATGCTGATATTTTCCCTAGAGTCATCTACAGATGCTTGAATTAAGTAGGCCTCTCATGTGTTCCCTACCTGAGCTCAGAAGTGGATTTTTGTGGTTTAAAAATGAAACAAAACCAGATCAACATTAAGAGAGTAGAAAAGAAACAGCTCAATACAATCCCACATGCGGTCATAGGACTTTTGGATTTTGCTCACGAATTAAGGGAGGTGGTGGCATGGGTGGCGCGTGCTCTCCTGTCCTCTCCCATGGCAACTGTCTGTTTGCACATGGTATTTTCACAGGGAGGTGCTTTGAGGCTGGAATCTGGGGACTCACTGGCTGTCTTAGCAGGCCCGGGCCTCTGCACACATCTGCAATGGATTCTCGTGTTTGTATTTTCTCCAACTCCAGAGTCATCTCAGGAGTGGAAAGGGAACAACACATTTAATGACACGTGTAGTGTTTTTAATTAAAATAACTGGCTCCGGCCATAGCAAGTGAGGCAGGCTTGCCATACATCAGGCCAAAGTACAGACATCTGTGCGGGGGTTTCTTTTTCCTGGACTCTGAAAAATGACAGTGCACTGTCCCCTGGGGAATCCTCTCCTGCCAAATGAGACTCCTAATTTTTCTTAAGTAGCCAGCTTTCCCATCACCATAAGCTCTTAAAGCTATAATTATGAAAAAAATGTGTTGGGGAGAGTCTGTTTTAAAGAGGCCTTTTATCTTTTCAATGTTCCCCCCCTCTGCAGTGGATGTTCTAATTATGCAGGTTAAGTTATGACCTTGGGGCTGCCTAATGGGTAGGAATCAGCCTCTTTTCTTGGATGCAAGGCTGTGGTGGCAGGAACAGTTCCAGAGACTTGGCTGGGGGATACCCCCATTGTCTAGGAAAAGGGGTTCTCCTATACCTTTCTACAAGTTCAGCATAGACTCCAGAGTGTCCTGGCCCCTATTCTCACTGCCTTTTTTGTGAGGTGTCATGGAAGACCACCCCTGTCCTTAATGGTCTCTGACCATGTACACAGGTTCCATATCCTATTTGTAAAGGAGAACAAAGACAATCAATCGCCTGGGCCTGTTTTAGCTGTGAAATAGGTGATTTTTGCCTGTTTCTTTTATGAAGAGTGAGACGTTGGGTCCAGTATTATGTGAGGGAGGAGGTGTGGCCAATAACCAGTTAATACACAGTTTGATTTGGACTAAGTCAGGTCTTCAAACCCATCTAGCCGTATCTCCTCTGTAACGTAGGGTGGAGAAGGGCAACTCTGTAGGAATCTGAGTTCTGCTTGTTTCATAGTCACAGGTGTAAGTGTTGCCCATCAACTGCCCCGCATCTCATATCTTTGACGCAAGGTCACAGGTCTTTCTCTGCAGACTGAGAGTCTACCCACCAGAATGTCTGCGGTCTGTTTTCCTAGTGGGAGAAGAATATCTGCAGGGAAGCATAGCTGATAAAATACAGGCTGAGCTAGGATATTCATGTTTACAAAATAAACT